CCTGACAAATGTTAAGATAATAGCTCACATTTTTTGTGATATGATGTTCAGTAATGATTTGGTTCCATTTAATATTGTGAGGGAATATTTCTGTGACTACACAGGTGATGATTTAAAACGTGCACGGATGTGTGTGTGTGTGTGTGTGTGTGTGTGTGTGTGTGTGTGTGTGTGTGCGTGTGCGTGTGTCAATGCATGTCAGGTCCTGCAGGAGATGTTCCTCTAGGACACAAGTTTAGCTTACACCTGCTCGATCTGTTTTATAGCTCTGCCTCGATTCAGTGTCCTTATCTGTGGAGATGCAACCAAGCACACAAAGTTTATTTGATTTATGCAGGGCAAAGACCCCAGATTGGGATGTTTGATTGAACCATCTCAGTAGCAATCATATAAGGCAGTAGAAATCATATAAGGCCAGTGCTGCTGTCTGTTGTTGTCTCATCAGCTCAGCCAAAGACTCCCAGCACAAAAAAACACAATAAAACCTTAAAAAATGCTGTGAATGATCCAGTTACATTAAATTGACGGTGTTAGCTCGAATGACTTCATATCTAAGAGAGCCATTTAAATCGCCTCCCACCTTCTTTTGTTTATATTAAAAATAATCCATATGGACACCGTCTATGATAATAGCTTTTCACAAGCACATACATAATTACATGTTTGGTGTGGTCTGTAAAAAAGTGTCTCATTATTCTTGGATTTTGAACTTGACCTGGGCGTACAAAAATTGGCAGGCACGTGTAGCACACCGAGGCATACATAAAACAACGAGCTTTTTAAAGAAGAGAGCACCTTTAAAATTAGCTTCTATATAAATCCTTCTCTGACTTTATTGAAAAAAAATAGACATGAACATCGCAAGTTATTCAGGTGTTAAGACGATTGCTATCTTGGTTCAACAGCTGTAAAACAAGTCCACACACTTGCTTACCAGCTCCACCAAGTTATCCTACAATTGTAGACTCATCACTGTACCAGCGATTGAGTCTGGTTTATAGTTGCATCAAGTGCAGGGCAATGCGAACACATCTTCTTTTAAAATAAATGCTTCCAGTTCTCTCATCTGCATGTGACATTTAAACCTGAGTTTAATGTTGAGTTCAACAATCTATCATCTCTTCTGTGCGCCATTTTGAATGTTATGAGGATGGACTTCAGCTGACAAAGAGTGACACCGGCCACTAAGGATATGTCACACAGAGAGAGAGAGAGAGAGAGAGAGAGAGAGAGAGAAAAGAGAGAGAAAAGAGAGAGACGGACAGACAGACAAACACACGGCTAGATGGAGAGATATATAGATTGATAGATAATTCCATCAGGTTGAAGGAGTACCTCGCTTAAATTGTGTTTAATTGAATTGTTATTATTAAATTGTATTGTATTAAATTGTTCTTTCTGTTGGTTCTCACTGGATTGTTTGTTTGTCTTTCCTGATTTCTAAAACAATTATCAAATACAGGTACAAGTACTGAAGCAAAACAAAACCTGTACTCAGCCTTTAGGTTTAGCTAAGCCCTTTTTCAATCAAAATATCATATTTCAGCCATCATGGAACATGAACATGGCATTTAAAAAGGTGTCCTCTCAATGCCCTGCTAAAGTGGATGTGCTCTTGTGCTCAACTGCTCAGCTGCCCTTCTCAAAGCACATCAGAGAGTCAATATGGGTCTTCTCGAAAAAGAAAATATAATCCCTGACTTTGACGTTGAAATGGCCTGATTACTTTTGCTGCTGTGTGGACTGGTTTTGGACATGAGATTCAAACTCTTGTCCTTGGGGACGAAAGGGGGACATCAGAAAGCACAATGTCTGTCATCTTATATCCATCCTGTCCCATCCCCTTTCCCTGCCATCAACAGTTGGCTCATCTAAAATGACTCTCTCAGGGATCCTTTACTGGAGGATGGTCATTATGCAGATACGGCTGGTGGCACAGCCACAAATGCAGCTATTCCTATGACGGTTAACAATATGCCACAAAGCAGTAGCTGAAAAAGCAAGTGCATTGAGTGTAATAACTTATCTTGTCACCCTTAACCTATTGCCATTGCAGAGAAAGGAGATTTGAGAGGTAAACATAACAGACAATATTCATTCTTTGACAGATACAGTATCGCGTCATTTTATATATATATATATTAATGGTTGCCGCCCGTTTCGTCCCGTTTTTTTTTTCTGAAATAAAAGAAAAATAATTTGGCCCATTATTTTAGGAAGCTGATGATATGCAACGCAGAGCTTACGTCCCCACACCAGAGTTGTTGTTAGAAAAAAAAAAAATCAGTGACTGACTAGGTAACAATTATTTTGAATGTTGCTCTCTGGATATGAAGGTTAAATCTCGGTCACCAAAATAAGTCGACATATGCAATGAGGAAAGCAATTGGATAAGATGTTCTGTGTTGGCAGATGACTCTTGGCTAGTCGTCTTGGTCAATCTATCAAAGCCAAAACAAGCATCGTGACAGGCCAAGCTGCGACATCCAATGCCTCTTTGACTGTGCAAAAACAGAACAAGGAGGCAGCAGCGCAGTCTCTCAGGCTGTTGTCTTGTGGGGCCTGAAAGCAGGTTCAAGATGCACTGTGGATGATTATATGGTAAAAAAATAAATAAAATTAAAAAATGGAAATAGGGACGGGTTGCTAGAGAAGGAAGAAGAAGCAAGCTAGCAAACATCCTACCTAAGATATATGTGCACTTCCTAATGCTGACATACCTTGTCATAGTGTAACGACATTTAAAATAGGGTGAAAGTGATGAAACACAACCTCCTCTGGAAATGTTACAGTAAATAGGAGGAATATTCAAGAACCGTCATGTTGCGGAAATATATGGTGGATAATCCCACAATGATGCAAAACAATCGCACAGCGCTCACAAAGCTGCTTCTTTGTCTTTTGTTGAGGCTTGAATCACAACCAAGGCTTTGCCACTTGCATTCTGATTTATAGTATCGCTTTTTTTTTGTACGCCTCCCCATAAGGCAACTCGCAGAGAGGATGACACCCAAGACACCTACAGTAATAAAGTATTTAAAGGTATTGGAGTTGCAGATGACAAAGTCTAGACAGGGGAAGGCTGTCATCTGCAGGGCCTGTCTCTGTTTATGGGCTGTTTGAGTGTTTGAACCGCAGGGTCAGTCCAGCTGTGGCGGCACCATAACACTACATAGGCAGGCCACAAAGTGAACAAAAATAAATCTTAATGAACTCCTGTCCGTCCTAAGGGTGGGAGTGCCATGTCGAAAGAGTTAATGTGAGGGGACAGGGGGAGAAGTGGTCTGCCAGCAGGGAAAATGCGAACAAGTTGAATGGCTGTCACTATGAGCTAAAACCTGGCGATCATGCTTGGAGGTGACAGATGCTGTAGAGGTGTTAGCATACTGGCACACGTATTATCGGGTGATTTTTGAGTGTCTAGTCGGTCGCTATTTATAGTCAAAAAAAACAAAAGATTGATTAACATGGCATGCAATCTGAGGGTGTTTCCTTATGTATCACAACTAACTCTATCAGGAACAAAACATCACCTGACAACTTCCTTCATAAACAATCACATCAAGCCTTGCCGACTGTCCAAAAAGTTGCTAGAAGTCATCAAGTGATGTTGTCACCTTAGTTTACAAATTTATTTAATTGATGTTGACAGGCTGGTGGGTTTCACCATATACAACACGGTGCATGTTTTCAAGCCAAACACAATGTGACTGAAGTCGTAAACTTGGAGGCGGTGTGGATACGAATAGAAAGGAATGAGAAAACGTTGTCAGATTTGTCGCTTGCCACTTTTTTGAGAAGTAAATTTTGAGAAATAGTTACCTGAAGGGTAGAGATGTTGCTGAACACAGCAAAAAAGTTGCAGTTTCATGTTCCTCTTTCTGATATTTTCTGTCATTTAGGATTTCATATCACAGTTCCGTTACAAGTGAAGACGATCTGCAAGGAATATTAAACCGGAGCAAATTTAACCCTGCTCAGGAGGTGGTTTAAAAATTTACTCCGGAGTAAATGCTAGTTTGCGGGGCAGCACCGATATAAAATGGGGACGTGTGAATGCTACAGGAGTAGACTCGCTACGCGTGAGAAGAGTTCATTACACACGGGTACTGAATGTGTTGCTTTCATGCTCTGTTGTACTTCCGTCATCTTTCCTTTCTCTCTCTCATCCTTTTACGGTGTCTGATAGACCACAGCGTTGATTTGTCTGGAGAAGTATAAACCATGGTTTTTCGATATGTCACAAACAAGGCGGGGAAAAGGAAGTACACTTTACGCATTTGCACGTTTTATTTCCGTATTATTACGTATCGTTTTGCACAGCCGCAGAAACTGCCATGTGAACACAAGTGGTGCTGCACCGGGGTTAACACGCTTCTCTTTAGTAAGCAACTTTATATGTGTGAACGCTCCACAAAATTTACACCGGTGTAAGATATATCGCAACAAAATACATCGGTGCAGCACCGATGCAAATGTGTGCCCTGTGAACACCCCTGTAGAGAGAATATGTCTAATTTGAAAAAAATGAACATTTTTAGTGTGTATAATGTCAGAATTTATCAAATAACATCTACCAATCTTCATGAAAAAAGAAAAACAAATGTTGCTAGCTAATTTCATGCAAACCAAGTGGCGAAGTCACACCAAAAAACACCTAATGCCAAATAATCAAGTGGGCCTGTATTTCTTATAAGTATTTGGAACATAACTTCACGCAATTTTTCAACAATATAAATCCCCCATCCATCCATTTCATGTACTGCTTTTCCTCACTAGGGTCACGGGTCAACTGGAGCCTATCCCATCTGATTTTGGGTGAAAGGTGTTCACCTCGACTCGCAGGGCACACATGGGAAAACAAAAACAAAAACAAAACATGCACACACATTCCAGTACACGTCAATAAAAATGTAATTATATGGAGTCACACAAAACACATTCTAATAATAAATCTGAATTGTATTTTCTCTTTTCTCTTTCTGTCTCGAGTACAATGTTTCAATGAGACATGAAAATATGTTTTGCCATGAAATGACCTTCGAAAAAATAGGCTGGTTTATTGATATGTTGTTAAAAAGGCTTGGCCATGGGAATTACCACCATCTGCACCACACCGAAGAAAAATGAATTTATATTAAGCTTTAATCACCCTCTATTGTCACCTTCATTTCTTTTCATTGTCTCTTCATTGGATTAGAGAATCAATTCATCACTTTAAGGTGGAAAGTCGCAGCTTTGCCACTTCACCTCTGCAGTGCTCCCTCCGCCATTCTTCCTCCTCAATCAGAGAAAGTGTGAACAAAGACCCAGTGAAGATGGGCACCATCTCGGCAGGCTGTGGAGGGTGGTAATTTTTGCTGTCTCACCTCAGCGCTTTCCTCATTCTAGTCTGATTAACTCCAATAATGTATCTCAGACTTTCAGCTGTTCAAAAGGACAAGAGAATGAAAGTGGGTGAGTGAGAAGGCCATGATGTGGAAGAACACATCCTTTCATTCACAGTTCCTCCATATCATTAATCTTTCTTTTCTTGCCACCGTCTTGAGAATTTTATAACCCCGGTGGCGTACAGTGATTATGATGGTCATTGTGTTCATGAAGTTATTTCTCAGTGCAAGCCTTTATTACAGCGGGCTGTCTTTAGAAATGTAAAATGGGCACATTCTCGATGGTAAGTGGTCAAAAATAAACATTAAATTGATGTCTTGCATGTTACATCCACACATATCAGCCCAAATGGCAATGCACATGCGGTTCCTATTCCATAAATAAGTAAATCATCCATTTACAATTTTAAAAATTTAATAAAAACATCAAAGTCAACCTGTTTGAAGCTTTATCTTAAGAGTTAGGTCAAGAGTAATTTCAATGACAGCCAGTTGACCAAATCTGAAATTGTTCATGTGTTAAAAGTACTGCACACAGAAAACACTCAGTTGAGCTCATTGGATGATTGTTAGTCAGTGTTTTAATTTACTAGAGCAGTGGTCCTCAACTAGAAATGCTGTAGGTCCACTTTTTTTTTTTATTAATAAGACCAAGGTCCGGTCCCATGCACGGCGGTCATGGCGAGCAGGGCTATATGCCCATTTAGTATGGTTAAGCCAAGCTTATACAAATCAACACTCCTCACAACCAACCAATAATGGGGTGCATGAAAATAACAATTATTCACTTTGCCAGTACACAGCAAATAATGAGAGGTATTGTGTTGAGGCACAGGAACTCTTTTATTTTGTTAAGTTGTGCCTGCTTAATAATAGAAATAGCCCTTTTAGGGAAATAAGACAATTTTTACTTTAACTTTGTTAAACAGTAGTTGTCTTTGTTTTCCCTTAATTTAACAAAACAATTTCACAAAATACTCATTTTACCAAAATAAATACTAAACATGAAAACAAAAATATCCTTTTCATTTGTACAATTCCCCTTTTCACATCCCCTCTGAAATCACTGAAAAATACAGTATATCAGAAGAGGAGTTAAGAACCATTTTAAAAACTGACACAGGGGAGCACAGTATGTGCAGTGCTGTTCTTCCACTAAAGGTGAATGCAATGTTTGAGGCATGCAAATATTATTTGAGGACGCCATTGTGATGTTCATTTACCATGTTGCGGTGTTCTGCTGTTAAACAGCTGCAAAGATCCCCGGGTTGACGGGAGCAAAACTGCACACAATGCGTGCTGACGCTTATTTATGGGCACACCTTAAGTTCAGAGGAGCCAATCAGCGCATCGTTATCGCCGACATGCCCTGCTCAGCCAGGGTCTCCAGTTAGTCAAACATTATACAACACACAGTCGCGCTGCTGCGGTCCTCTGCAATACATCTGTTAGTGCACGCAAAGAATAAAACGGATAATTTTAACAAACGATCGCGGTAATGCGCAGATTATAGTCCACAAATATAAAATGTATAACGTAAAAATCACTTTATAATTTATTATTTTATACAATTTGCCGAGGGTCCGGACAGAGGAGGTCCGGACAGAGGAGGTCGGCGGTCCGGTCGTGGATCGCGGTCCGCCAGTTGAGGAAGGCTGTACTAGAGTATGAAGTCGTATTCCAAAAGGAAAAGAAAATATATGTGCTGTATGTTCCTGCCGACTGCTGTCAGGCTACTGAATAGACGCATCGAAAACCTGGACTCACCCATTTTAAATAGCACAGCCACCTTATGCAGCAGATATGCAGCTGCATATATGCTTATATCTTATATTTTATATTTTTTGCATTCTGTACTGCATGCAGTTCAGTTTTTAAATGTATTTTGTGCATGCAAATACTTCATGTCTTTCTACTTTCTTCCCTCCAAATTTTGCTGCTGTAATTTGGGAATTTCTCCATTGTGAGACAAATAAAGGTTTTCTTTTCTTATCTTATCTTATGTGTGCAGAGGACCTCGTTAATTTTACAGCTATTCTATTTAAAAAAAAAAAAAAAGAAAAGAAAAGAAAAGAAAAACGGCGACCAACAGTAATTTCTAATATTGTCATTATGGAGTTGCACCATGGCCACTGTTCACCCATATGACTTCAACAAGGTAGCCAGTGGTCATCAAGAATTGTGTCTTTCCATCAGGTCAGACAAAAGCTTTTGACATGTTCATTAAGTTGCAGTGATCTCACTACATTCCGACAGCCTTTCTGTTACAATGCTCACACGTAATTAGTACCACGCACAGTCTCCGGAATGCTAATTGCTGCTCTCCTCACCTCACTCTGTTATTTCTTTCAATATAGTCTCTCGTATCCTCCTCCTTTCCACTCGTTTGGTCACTCTGTGGGAGGTGTGGAGCACCACATTTAGACTGTCGAACTTGTTTGTCTGAAAGCTTTCAGTTTCAATTTGAAGCCTCTGCTGTGTATGTGCACAGAAAGAAAAAAATAATCCCATTGGCCCAGTTTAAATGATGTATGCAAGAGCTAACGCAAAATGTGATGATGGGATGTTTTAATTATGACAATTAAGTGAGCTATGCAAACAGTGAATGCGGTCCAATAGTCCCAGTCCAAAGGGATATAGCCTAAATGTTCGGCCACGTAAGACAGTATATTTACAAGGACCTTTCATTCATTCATTTTCCGATCCACTTTGTCCTCACAAGGGTCGCGGGGGGTGCTGGAGCCTATCCCAGCTGTCTTCAGGCAGTAGGCGGCGGCCACCCTGAACCGGTTGCCAGCCAATCGCAGGGCACACAGAGACGAACAACCATCCACGCTCACTAGGGACAATATAGAGTGTTCCATGAACCTGCCATGCATGTTTTTGGAATGTGGGAGGAAACCAGAGTACCCGGAGAAAACCCATGCAGGCCCAGGGAGAACATGCAAACTCCACACAGGGAGGCCGGAGCTGGAATTGAACATGGTACCTCTACACTGTGAGGTCGACGCGCTAACCACTGGACCACCGGGCCGCCTAAGGACCTTTCAAAACACTCAATATCATTAAAAAATAAAAATAAAAAATAAATCGTTGTTGTCTTTAATTTATTTATTGTGACATTCAATCACTGACATTGGCTGGCGACCAGTTGAGGGTGCATTCCGCCGAGTGCCCAAAGACAGCTTGGATAGGCTTCAGCACGCCCGCGACCCTCGTGAGGAAAAGCGGATTCGAAAATGGATGGACGGGTGGGCATTCAATCAGATTGCCTCAAGGTCTACCCTACACAGTTGACAGCCCATGGGGGCATATCTGGATGTTGTCTTGGGATTGCATTACATTGCTGTGAAGTTTATTCATTGTTAGTCATAAATCATGTTTTGTTCTTTTTGCCTTCATGACATCATCATCGTTTCTGGGGAATTATGACCTAGTATACCCATAATTGCTATACCTACTGTATCTTCATTTGAAGATATACTGTGTCCAAAAGGGACATCATAATTTGGCTTAACAACTCATGGCTAGATTCATCTACACTTATGTTTTGAAAACAGAAGAATATTGCAAGATTGAAATGATAATTTTATATACTCCATCATTTCCCAAGGAATGATTGATAAATCGAATGATGTTTCAGTCATATGCAGCAGATGAGGTTGATAATCTCTGATATGGAAAAATCTGATGGCAATTCAAATTAGGATCATTCGGTTATGTCTCATTAGTTTCACCTGCGGTCGTCCGCTGTTTCATACTCCCATGTCGGCCATTCTGTTCATTCCCTTGAGTTCTTCACCTACTGTCTCTCGTTTTGCCATATTTCTGTAGTTATTAAGTCCCTTGGTGTGATCTTGCTTGGTATGTTCCTTGTCATGTGTTAAGTTGATCGTTAGTTTGCAGTGACCCCTCCCCCTCTCCCCCCTGTCCATCTGTGACTTTTCACATTTGGAATTTACCTGTACAGAATATGATTATATTACAGTATTTAGTTTTTAAACTAACTTGGAAACCATATATGGATGAAGATGAAGAATAACTGATCTGATCTTTCTTTGTACAACCTTTGTGAACTTTTTTTGCACTGACTTCTTTTTATATTTTCCAACTCTATTTATAGTTGTCCATCAAATGATGAGGGGATGATGCTGCTGCTTTGTTGTTATCATTGTTTTAGCAGCTTCAACACAAAACCGATATTTCATCCGGAAGATATTTACGTGCTGACAGTTGGCGACAGTTTGAAATGTTCTATTACCACCACCTGCAGGACAAAAATAGAACTGCACACATTTGAACAAAACAGTGTGAACACAGCCTGTCAAAATTGATATTCAATTCCTCAAATGTACTATTGGTGGAGGTTCTACACATGGTGCACTTTATACGCCAAATTGGAAATAGTGTTCCATTTTACATGTCTGATCTTTTAAGTTGAATGAATCAGTAACAGTCTTTAGGTTCATAGCAAAAAGCACCAACAAAACAAACTGTCTCTGCCACTCGCTTCTCAAGTAAGGCAAATAGCGATGTCTGCATCTGCGTGTATATAAAATACTGTATGAAAATGCGCCACAGTAACCTGTGGAGTTTTAACAGCATTCACTGGCATTAGTGCAGTGGTTCTTAACCTTTTTAGCGGTACCGAACCCAAACCCAACCAGTTAATATTCACATTCACCGAACCCTTCATGAGTAAAAAATAAATATATATATATATATTTTTTGCAAATTCAAGATATAAAAAACCTGCATTTATCAAAAACAGAAAAAAGTCAATAAAATCTCAAGAGATATGTATACTGATAGGTTGATTATTTTTAGTTACTATACATTTGCATATTATTAATGATGAATTGATATTGCTTGCAATGAAGAACGCTTATGCCTGCAATCATTAATTGATTATGCCTGCAATGAAGAACGCTTATGCTTTTAATAAAGATATGATGCTTTTGATCATTATATACTCATATTTATAATCAAGAATGCTTATTGCACTGTGTGGCAGTTTAGGGACGCAACCACCTTTTCTAGGATGTGGTCGGGAAGAGATAAGTATTAAGACTAAACAGGAGCAAGGTTGGACAGTGGATGGAGCCATCAACACCAGCTGCAATGTGATGTTTTTGTAACAATTGCACACATGTACGTAATTACACTCACATACACACACATAGTCAAACAAGTTCAGTGTGTCTTCAACAGCCCCCACCCTTTAGGTTGGACACACCTATGTACTGTAGTAGATTTCCCAATAAATGAGGGGGTGAGGGGGGGATCGTTAGTCTGACGTGCAGAGAACTGAAACTTAACGCTTCTCCTTGTTCCCTCCTGGTACCAGAATTGAGTCTCCTGTCTCCTCCTTGTGTTTTATGTGGAGATGTCAAATTGGTGGACCTGACATATACTTTTTTTTTTGTTCGACGTACTATCACGACAGTCACACGTTGACAACTAATCAAACTAAATTTCCCACAGCACTGATTGGACAAGCTATGTCATGTGATCATCTGCAGCTCGTGATGGCCAAGCAGGCGTGTCATAACTAATTAACTTGTTGAGTCGCGTGTGTCTTACCCTCCATGGCAGAGGCTCCGTCGAACCCCTGAGACCGAGTCACCGAACCCCTGGGGGTCGATCGAACCCAGGTTAAAAACCGCTGCATTAGTGTGACGGCCTTGGCCGTCACTATATGAGGAAAGAGTGTCACCTATGGGTGGATGAGGAATGTACACGCTACCTCTTCAAAGAGCTTTCCATCATACAGTGCGGAGGGGATTTGGGGTTAAAATAATGTTTTTTTTTAAACATCTTGCAAAATGTGTCACTCCATGAACTTGACACAGGGATAGGACAAGCGAAATGGGAATTGGAATAAATCCGGCCAATTCCATGCAGGACAGTACAAAATCATGTTTGTGAACAAATCATGTTTTTTTTTCGTTTTTTTTTCTTCTCATTACATGTCTCTGCAGTGTAATTACATAGCCACTGTTGTTTGACAGGGAGAAAATAAAATACAATGTAGTTGGTGAAATGATCACTTGTAGCAGTAATTGACACTCATAAAAATGATTTTTCTACTTGCCCTGCAGATCAAATGCTAATGAAAATGTGAAATATGAAAGATGACACCAACAGGCGTGAGATGAGCAGCTAATGAAAGACAGTCGGCAAGTGGGACAGTAATAGACATACTGCCGCTAATAAGTTCCTGTTCATTAGAGCGTGCAGACTCCTTGCATCTTGTCTGTTTCCTCTGACTGACAGCCTTGACAGCATCTCCTGTCAAATGGAGATTTTTTGACACATCCTAAAAATGCAAATTCATCACACCACATGACACCAAATATGTTGAAAGCTTCTTTTGGTAAATCGGTTGGTGCACTATAATTGGGTGATGACGTGAGCCTCAACAGTGTGTGACTCAGAGTTTAAAAATAGAAGGCATTGTCTATAATGGCAGCAATTTGATGACATTTTCTTGTGTCTGAGTAGATCACTGCCTGTTGTACAATGACTCATAAGAAGCGAAGTCGACGTTTTCAGGGGCGATGCGGTGCAATGAATTGATTTTGAATACAGTTTTTGAAATTAATTAATTTTTAATACCGGTAATTGTTTTTCTTCTTGGAAGAAAACAATTGGCTGTTGGCTTGCAAATGCAATTCCAAGGAAAAGTGTAATTATCTAGTAAAAATAAGATGAGCAAAACCTAGCTTGTATTCTGAGTGTGTTTGGCAAGGCTCCAGACGTATGAATTTTATTTAATGAAACCATAACTCTGGATCACATGAGAAACAATTACTGCCTAAACATTCTGGGATTTACAGTCTGGATTTTGGGTGCTCTGGTTTCCTACTTCAGTCCAAAAGCATGCATGTTATTGAATATTCATAGGACCAAAAACTCCAAATAAATATACAGTGTCGGGATATATATCTTTTTTTCTTCATTGGCATATTTGGTATTGGATTCATCAAAAGGTAAATCAGAAGTACTCAAGTTACATGACTGTAATATGTTACTTGGATTACATTACTGTGACTGTTTGGCAGATTCCAATAAGTATAATTATGACACTGACAGGAAGCATAACAACACGGTGCAGTGTGATGGCGTTTGTTATTCCACGATAGTCAAAGTTGTCGTTAGCACACAATTGTTGTCAGTCCATCAATGGACATCATCATCTGTCAAAGAGGCTTCACTTAGTGCAGCTGCCCTTGTTTCTTGTCGTTGAGATGAATATATTAAAACGAGCAGCGATCGGGGCGGAGTCAGGTTGTTCGTTTTCAGCTTTCAACTTTGAACTTGTCTGCTAGCTTCAGCAGCAGCTCATCACATTACCAGAGTTCTAGTTGCTTGTTGTCAAACATAGATTGCAGTTATGTACCAAGTACTTTGGCTCATATTGAACTGTTTTGGGCAATTCGACCAATGATTTTTTTTTTCCCGCAATATTGGAACACCACAGGTGTAATGAATGTTCAGAAAATCCGGAAGAGCTGGCAGGTCTGCGACCATATGTGCACACGTCACTTCTACGCACACGTATAAATGCACGGGCACGGGCTGTTCGGTCACTGTTTGACCCATGTCAGAATTTGGTCCTCATTTGAGGTGCAAACTGACGACCGAACTTTTTCCTTTTCTTGTAAAGCGCAGAATTCATGTTTCCGTCATTCTCAGCAAGCCCAGGTTCTGAAGCAGAAGGGCAGCCCCAGACCGTCAGTCTCACACTACCATCATGTTTGAGTGTTGGTATATTGATGTTCTTTTTTCTGAAATTACTGCGTTTGGGTGGCTGTGGCTCAATTGGTAGCAAGTTGTCCAGTGACCGAAGGGTCATCTGAGTTAATCAAATGTAGTAGCATATGTACACGGACACGCCATTAACGTGGTGTTAAAAAAATGACAAAAATGGACATATTTCTTTTTCACATTTCACAAGACGAGCGATGTGGTGTCGAGGTGTCGATGGCATGCAAAGTTGAGTGGGGCACAACAGGGGCCACTTTACATTCACAAGCAGCAAAGCCTAAACAATAAATTCAAATTCTATTTATTTGTATTCATAGTCTTACAAATTAAGGCTATGAATAAGACCTTTGAATGGTTCAATATAGAACTCACCACTGTTATTCATTTCTTGAATAGTACACAAGTCGATCGTTCATCTGGGCAAACTTGCCAATAACCTGCCTGTCAGAGTCCAGAATGAATTCATTTTCAATGAACAACATAGCCAGTGCATGTAATTTCTGCTACCACAGTCATGGGGCTTCCCCATTGTGTTTATTGATGTCTTGATGAACTTCAGCATTGAAAAGTTTCTCTCAGACTCAGCTGTGGTCATTGGTGCTGTGATAATTATTTTGAGCAGTGACACAGTTGTGGATAAGGCATCCCGTAGGTTGTTGAACTAAATCAACTGCAACAGAGACGGAGTGTTGGCAGCATGCAACTCGGAGTGTCTGTAGAGGGACTTTAGCTCAGTTTCTCTCTTTTTATTTCAAATTGACCCGATTTTATTGGCTGCTTAAAATTCATCACAGGCGGCCTGGTAGTCCAGTGGTTAGCACGTCGACTTCACAGTGCAGAGATACCAGGTTAAATTCCAGCTCCGGCCTACCTGTGTGGAGTTTGCATGTTCTCCCTGGGCCTGTGTGGGTTTTCTCCGGGTACTCCGGTTTCCTCCCACATTCCAGAAACATGCACGGCAGGCTGATTGAACGCCCGAAATTGTCCCTATGTGTGAGTGTGGGCGCGGATGGTTGTTCGTCTCTGTGTGCCCTGCGATTGGCTGGCAACCGGTTCAGGGTGTCCCCCGCCTATTGCCCAAAGACAGGTGGGATAGGCTCCGGCATCCCCCGTGTCCCTAGTGAGGATAAAGTGGTTCAGAAAATGAATGAATGAATGAAATTCATCACATGGAAATCATTTGCTGAACACAAGCTATGCTGCTATAAGGTGATCACTCTTGCTAAATCTGCCCTCCACTTGACCCACCACTGGTATCACCAGCTATCTTCAAAACCGCTGCAGTGTTTTGTTTTTTTGTCCATTTCTTCAGCGCTTCCTCTCTCTCTTGAGCAATGACATCCACTTTTTTTCTCAGTCAGCTCACACAGTGTTTGAGGCTATCCATAGCATGGTTGACACTTCGTTTTTGCAGTGTGCTGTGCAGAATATCCATGTTGTGGCAAAAGCTGACAGAAAAAAAAAACTGCAAAAACTGTGAAAATGTCTCATCCTCCAGGTACATGGCATGATCATACGCTTCAAAAATCGGAACGCTGTCCCATTCAGGTACTGTATGGATATTATCCAGGCACTCGTTGATATCTGCAAGGTTTTTCCAAAGAGCATTCACTATTCTACTTTTGAAATTTCACCGAGTGGCTGCTGGCCTCAGGCTGCCCCGAGCAGATGTGTCAGAGAGAGCGATGGTTCTTTCTTTCGTTAGAAAAAAAATCAAGCAAAGGTGGACACATCAGCAAAGAATACTTTTAAATCCGTAATTCTTGTTGCACACGCCTGTTACAAAGTCAGATTTAGCGGGTGTGCAGAGCAAAGCAAGAATTCTGTGTTTGGGTACTTTACGTTTGGGAACACCAAAGATGCACCCACTCATGACTGCTGCAATGTGGTAAATTTGTGCAAATAATTTCTCTTTTAAACTCAATGGCTTGATAGCTACTTGTATTGCACTAGCAAGACCTGGTGCAGTTTTGTCCATCAATTCAATGAATCTCCAGAACTTCTCTTTCACCGCGTGGTTCATGAAATGCCATACAATCACTACCTGCAATTTACATGAGACATCTGTTGTTTCATCTGCTTGTACAGCCACAAAGGGAGTATCAGACACCTGCTTTACAAATTCTTCCTGATATACGTTAAACATGCACTGCAGAAGTTTGTTTTGAATAGTTGCTGAAGTACGGCTGTGATTCATAATGTCTTTTGAGTCTGGAATTACCATAACACATTGTCTCAAAAATGCTCTGGATAATGCCTGGATTCATTGAATCACACCCACGTAAGGCAATTTTGCATTCACCACAGAGTTTTAGGCATATAATAATTCTTTCAAAGCACCGACCTGTTTTCCTCAGTTTGTCGATAGTGTCGTTCAGTGGCATGTTTATGAGTGGTCTTCAACAATGCAGCGATGTTAATCGTGCCAAGTAAACCCAGTTTTAGGGGATTGTGAGCTACTGTTTTATCAGACGTTTTGAACGATGCTTCAAATCTTTGAATCCAACTGTTGACCATTTAATGTCTCTTCCAAACAGCAGGCAAGGAAAGCAAAGCAACGATTTTCTGATCACAGAAGCAGTTAGTCAGTTTTTTCTTTTGAACCATTCGGGGTAGGTGAAGGAGCGGATTTTCGCCAAATGTACTCTTTATCAATGAATCTACTTCATTCATATTGTTGGTTTGCTATTATAGTCTTTGTACTCCAGATCAAAACCAACTTAACTCACTGTTGTATAATATATATATATATATAAAATTATGGCGGCCCAGTGTCCAGTGGTGAGCGCATCGACCTCACAGCGCAGAGGTGCAGGGTTCAATTCCAGCGTCTTAAACGTACAAGGACTACACAACATTTCGACTCAAGTGTATTTCAGGAGCACTCTAAAACAACCGGCACTGAATAGCAAGTGCTGCACATCGAGCAAATATAATTCATACCACAAACTAATTAATAATAAAGACAGTCGAAAGCACAAGAACAGTCAAAATAAAAATCAAGTCCCAGGCGGAGTCAAAAGCCAAAGAATAAAAATGAGTTTTCGGGCGAGATTGAAAAGATTCGATGAAAGGTTCTGTTGCCCAAATTTATGAAGAGACAAGAGCCTTTTGGGGGTAGTCGTCGTCTCAAGTTCAGTCCATTGACTCTGACATGTTTTCACATCTTTGTTAGTTTTACTTTACTTTTACAAACACGTTGTTGTATTCAAATGAATGTTTATGCATGTTGTTACAAACCAACTTGCAAATGTGGGTTTGCATATGTTCATATATGTCAATTTAAATAAAGCTTTTGACCCCCAAAAAGTCCACAATCTTAAAAGAGAGAGAGAGAGAGAGAGAGAGAGAGAGAGAGAGATGACGACAATATGAGTGCATTTGTTGAGTAAATATTATTACTGTCACAGCATAACTTTATGAACTCTATCTTCTAGCAATTGAAATTCATCACGGCAGCATGCCTTCTGGACAGAGGGTGGCCCACAACGTTTAATGTTAAACGTTTTAATAATTAATAATGAGGTTTAATGATTAGTCCTTTGATTGAATGATTTCTTTCTCTGCCAGTGCTACAACCCCCAACATCTTAAACACACACAAATGTGTTGCAGAAAATACTTCCTTAATGGTGCTTCGTCTGTTGTTGCCTTTAGCCTTTCTTTCACTCACGCACCTGCAGCGGTGTGTCTTCAAGTTATTTTAAGATTTGACAAGTCGGATTGAAATGTGGTGAGCTCATTCATTGCGCTGGAGAAGATTAACTTGTCAGTAAGAGCTACCGCATTGTAGTAGGTTCACATTAATAATTAATTAGCAGGTTTATTGTGCAAATCCAGAGCTCTAATAACACACGAAAAAATTCCACATTCAAAACTCACGTAATATTTTTCACCCCATTTGTTGTATTGGTGAAGTGACTTTTAAAAAGGAACTGAAAGCACCCGATTTCTCAAGATGAAAAATAAACAGTCAAGTCAAATATTATTTCAAGAGGTTATTTGAGCAACTGAATTTTCCCTCTGTGGAGCTGGATCCAAGTGAATGAGATTCAGCAAGTCTCTTGACGAGACTTTTCTCTTCTGAGTGAGCGATAGAAAAGAAATTGGGGGCTGAGTCAAAAGGGAAAATAAAAGTAGTAAAGTGTGCCAGCTCTGTGCATGTGTGTGTCTATGCAAATATCTCCCTGTGTGGAGCAAGCAAGAACAGCCAATTGGAGTGTATAAGGAAGTTAGAGGTATTAAATATCCAGCACTTACGGTTAGCAATTCAAATTCTGCACTTATCTTTCTGTCAACCCTTGCAGTAAAAGTAGTTGTAATCTGCGAGAATTTAAATGATCTTCGTTCAACGCAAGTGGGAGTGAGACCTCTTGCAGGCCTGGTTGGATCAATCTACTGTACTGGTAGGCTGACAAAATTATGATTATCCAAATCAAAACGGTCTGGTTTCAGTCATGTAAAAAATGTTTTATTATTTTATTGTATATGTCATTGTCTTGATGGATGGTAAATGTAAAGGACACTGAAAAAATATTGTGAGCTCTCCAGATGCCAACCAAAATGAAGTCCGATATATTCAGATTACAGCACCTTGATTTTTTTTTTTTCTTTGTCTATATATCTACGGGAGTCACTGACATTGGCCAGACTTGAATAGCAGCGTGTGTTCAGTTCCCATTCAGCGACACTGTGAATGTGAGTGCAAATGGTTGCCCTGCAGCTGACTGGTGACCCATTGACAGTGTAATCTCACTTTCGCCCAAATTTAGCTGGGATAGTTTCTCGCACCCACAGCCCAGCTCAGGACAATCAGTACTGCAAATAGATGTATATAGCTATGGGAATATATATATATATATA